CCTAATCTCATTTCACCAACCACAAGATCTGGTTCCGCCGGATCTGAAGCATATCTCCACATGATTCGCTTTCCCGATCTGGTTTCAGCAGTCACCGCCACTGACGCCATGGAATCTACAAAATTCGGTATCATGATGGCGCTATCAGGTTTAAGCTCTTACCGGAAAACACGAAGTCATCATCATTTCACCAGCCACCAGATCTATTTTCGCCCGGTCACCGCCACCTCCACCGCCATCGTTCTCACTCACTCTTAGTTAGGCTTCATGGCTCTCAAGAAAAACCAACTCCAAGAGCTTTCGTTGACCTCCGGCCGCCTTGACAAGCTGACTAAACTAAAAAACGACTAGAATATGTCGGTGGTTACTCCGAAAGAAGTTGTACATAAAAGGATCTAATCTTTGAAAGAGTAAATGACTCGGAGGCAGTTGAATGTGTTGGAGGAGGAGGAACAGAAGAATAATTGACGAAAGTGGAGGCTTTTGTTCAGGTGAGTTCTTGTTTAATTTTCATCCATATTGTTTTTGCTGATAGTATAAATTTGAATAGTTTTATCTAAAAATATGAAAAAAAAAAGAGGAAGTGGCTTGAATAATTGCAAGGCGAGACTCCCAATGAAGGCTTAAAGTATGTATATTTATGTTTGTTTCATATTGGGCTTTGATAATAATAAAAAATTATAAAAATTGAAAGTGTGATGGAACCATTCATGACTTACCTGACTTTTGTTAGTCCCTAGTATCAGTAGCATAAACAAATATAAATAAAAATATTTAGAAGACTATAAGGCTCATTCCATAATCTTATACAATAACTATTTCGTACCATGCTTATCTTACAAAAGCACACCAAATGTCACTTAAACTATTTAACAATAACTTTTATATATATATATATATATATATATATATATATATATATATATTATTGAAAAGATAGTATAATAAATCAAATTTGTTTTGAAAAACGTCTTTTAAAGTGTTTTTCTTATTTTGATTTTTTTAAATAATTAAAATGCTTTAGCAATTATTATTATTTTAATAGCTGTTCTATATTATTTACACAATATAATTATTGAAAAAATGTAAAACGAATTTTGTGAACATAAATAATATATGGTTAAATACATATAATCACATTAGATTAAATACACAAGAAAAAAAACTATTTAATCTATAATACGAAAATGAATATTGTCCACAAAAATCATATATGATTAAATACATATAATCATATGTGATTAAATATACGAGAAAAATTATTGAAAAAAAAATGTGAAAATGAATTTTGTCTATATAAATCATATGTGATTCGATACATATAATTATATGTGAGTATGTGTATCTAATCACATATGATTTATGTGGACACGTTTCATTTTTCGTGTTCTCAACTTAATAATTGCTCTCGTGTATTTAATCATGTGTGACTAAATGTATCTAATCGCAGATGATTTATGTGGAAACAATTCATTTTCTTTTTCTCGATTAAATAGTTGTTCTCGTGTTTTTAATTAAATATGATTATATGTATCTAATCACATATAATATCATATGTGATGAAATACATATATAATCGCATGTAATTATATATACAATAACAACTATTGAATCAAGGACATGAAAACAAATCGTTGTCCACATTAATCAAATGTGATTAAATATTTATAATCACATGTGATTAAATATATGAGAAAATTTATTGAATCGAAAACGTAAAAATGAATATTGTCCATAAAAATCATATGTGATTGGATACATATAATCACATTAATGTGATTATATGTATCTAATCACGTATGATTTATATGGACAAAATTAATTATGTTCTTGATTCATTAGTTGCTCTTCAGTAACATTAATCATATGTATGATTAAATATATTTGATGACATGTGATTATATAAATATATCTAAGCACATATGATTTATATGGATAAAATCAAATCTTGTCTATATAAATCATATGTGATTAGATAAATATAGTTACATGTGATTATATATACGAGACCAACTATTGCATCAAAAACACGAAAAAAATATTTTTCCACATTAATCATATGTGATTAAATACATCTAATAACATGTGATTATATGTATCTAATCACATATGATTTATATGGACAAAAAATAATATTCTCTGTATAAATCATATGTGATTAGATACATATAATCACATGTGATTATATACAAGAGAACAACCATTGAATCAAAAATGCGAAAACACATTTTTGTTCACATTAATCATATGTTATCAAACACATATAATCAGATATGATTAAATACATGAGAAAAAATAATGAATGGAAAACATGAAAACGAATCTTGTTTATATAAATCATATGTGATTAGATACATATAATCACATGTGATTATATGTATTTAATCACATGTGATTTATGTGATTAAATACAATATAATCACACATGATCTATCCCATTACATGTATTTAATCAAATATGGTGTTTGTGGTTGTAGGTAGTGGGTTGTGGTGGTGTGGTAGAGATGGATGGTGGTGGGTAGTAGTGGTGGGTAGTAGTGGTGGTAGAGGTATGGGAGGGTGGTGGGGGTAGTGGGTGGTGGTGACGGATGGTGGTGGTGGATGGTAGGTAATACGGGTCTTGGCTAATAGTTGGTTTGTGGTGGTTGTAGGTAGTGGTGGGTGATGGTGATGGTGATGGTGGCGGGTGGGGTGTTGGTATTGGGTGATGGATGTGGATGGTGGTGATGGGTGGTGTTAGTGGTTATTGGGTGATGTGTAATGGTCGTGGTTTTGGTGGGTGATGGTGGTAAGTGGTGATGATGTTGGTAGGTGGTGGTTGGTAGTAGGAGTGATGGTGATGGTGATGATGA